GGAGTTTAAATCTTCTCTGGGCATGTATCAAGTCACCTTCGTCATGATACGCTTATCGAGGTAATGGGAATCCCACTCTTGCCCTCAGAAAGTCCGAAAACCCTCCCTCTCTCTCTCGCCCCCTCTCTTCTCTCACTTGCGTGCAAACCACAACACACCCACACACACACACACACACAACACACACACACACACAACCACACACACAACACCACACCACACCACACACACACACCCCACACACACACACCCACACACACACACACACACACACACACACAACCACACACACACACACACACACACACACACACACACACACACACACACACACACACACACAGACACACAGATCCCTCCCCCTAGTCCCCTATGCCCTCCTCTGTCCTGTGCCATTTGCCAAGGAGGGGGGGGAATCCACCGGGGGCTCATTCATCTTGGCCCTGATGACCCCCTGTGGTGACAGATGCTCTTGGAGGCCTGCAGAGCTGTGGGGGAAACAAAGAGGAAGACCCCGCATTTCCCCGCTGCCACACGGCCCGTCGCCCCGCCACGCGTGACCCCCAGCACGCCAAGGCACTGACACCGTGTCAGGTAGAAGTCTTCATTTCCTGGGAAGAGGGCCGGGGTTTTATCCTGAAATTAAACTTTCGCTCTCACGCTCAGTTCAGTCTCTTGCTGACACACCCAACTTTTTTATTGGGGGCCAATTTAGGTGACAGGAGAATCCGCAAAATGGGGACAAGAATGTCAGGTCAGCTTGAGCATTTTGTCTTCGTAGCCTTGCCTGGGATTGACCCCACACTGGGCTTTTACTCCCGTTATAAATACCAGGGGCTCATCTGGTCAAAATAAATAAAGGGAAATGCACCACAAATCAACAGGCTGGCAGATGTTAGGGATTATATGGCATTAAAGCCAAGTGATCAGGGCTAGCACCTTATGATATTGGAGAGGGGCTCTTGATTTATCACACTGTATGTAAGTAAAGGTATGTATGTGTCACATTGCGAGTAAAAAATGCAGCAAAATGTGGAACTTCCTCATAGTGTATGTTATATTTGATTATATTAAGTTAATTACAATCCAAAACAGACTACGGTACTACATTTCTAATCTTTGATCATTTTCTATTAAAGATTGTTTAATTGCTGTAACACTTAACTTTACTTTACTTTGGTCTCACACATCTTAAGTTACAGCAGTATGCTCTAAGACCCCTTTGTCTGTTTTCCTGCAGACTAACTAATGCCAAGTAAAGTCAGCAAGAATTTGTCAGGTAAATAGTAGATCTGAGAAAACTCTCATCTACTTGATGGCCAGTGTGATGCACTCACGATTTACCATGACGCGGCCTTTTTCGGTCTCTCTTTCATACAATTTCCCCCCTCAGATTAACTGATCAGATTCATGAAGAGTTACAAAGCTTTTAAAAAGATGATATAAAGTAAAAGGTTGACTGTCTAGAATTGTTTTTTTTATATTAACTTCAAGAGAAGGTACCTACTTATAACCAAACGTAAAAATATAAATTAATGATTACAAACGCTGGTTAAATGTCTGTCTTTTTAAATTCTCATCCACATTTCCCTTAACTTGCACAGGTTTTAGCTTAGCTGAGCCGTAACTGCTGTTCCAGTTCATTACCACAGACACGGTCAACAGTTGTTTTAATCAAGTCGTGTGCAGCTCTTCGCACCTCCACTCCAATGGTTATATTAGGGGGACAGTCAGCACCATGGCTGCTGTAAACCTCCACGCCAGCCAATCAGGGCCTCCATTAGTCCTTACGGCGCTTTCACACACTCTTTTCTCTCCATCAGCCACATTTGTCTAAACATTGGGCTTGAGTTTGACTGTGAAATATATGTGTCTGGTTATTGCTTAATTAAGATGACACATGGAAATACAGTATGGCGGTAAACCTCAAACAATGCCTCAAATTATAATTGACATTTGAAGTGATTGTGAATTAACTTCATCAGGTGTAACAAAAGTCAAATCTCAACAATGATTCATCTGATAGAATTGAGCCACAAGTTCAACTGGGGGAAAAGAGCTGTCAGCGTGATTTATGTCTAGCCCCTGACTTTGACGTGGCCTGTCTTAAATAGCGCATTTAGAACAGAGATAATGAGTAAACCCGGCATTTTCTTTGGCCTCAAAAGCCACTGTGCAAAAAAACAAAAGAGTGTGGATTGAATGGCTTCCCGCCCACTAAACCCATCCCTCACCGCTGCATTGAGCTCTTGCTAAAGTCCCTGACAAAGGGGAAGTGTCCCTGCCACCGCCACCTGAGGAAAGACGAGTCACATGATCAGCTGTTGGGGGTTCTGGGAGATCTTGTGCTTAATGCTCTTAAATGTGCAGGGGGTGGGGTTTTTATTCTCTTAGGATTCCCATAGGAGCGCCACAGCTTTGTGTCTGCTGACTCAGCATACATGACTAACTCTGCACATTACTATTGATTACTTTCCGTGGCCGGTTGAGGTTCGGATACTTCAGGATGAGGTTCAACTGACAAATCGAGCCATGAGAGATGAGTATCAGGTGGGGAGGAAGTACAGCAACAGAGGTGCTAGTTAGCACGTCTGACTCTTACAATAAGAAAACAAACCTGCTGCTCAAATGTCAAAAAACAAAACATGACAACAATGTGAAAATTCCCGCAGCAGAATTCCCTTTTTCTACCTGCCTGACGTGTTATACCTGACGCCAAGGGTGTGAGGACTCGCACGAGTGTTTACTAGCCGGGTGGCAATCCAAAGCTCTAATTTCCTTATAAAAGCCCCTCAACCTCCGAAGCCCCCTTCCTCCCACTCCTCGGGACTACCTGCTGGGCACTGAAGTGCAAATTGATGCTAGTGAGGATAGCAGATGAGCTAAGGTCATTCATGGTTTTCCAGTGGGCCAAACAAACAAAGGCAAACATTCCATCTGAATGCCATTGCTGAAGACGGCAGCAACAAGAGAAAGAGAGAGAGAAGGAGAGACAGAGCAGGGCTCAGTGGAGATAATAGCCTGAGGGTGCATGTGTGTGTGCACATGCATGTGTGTGTGTGTGTGTGTGTGTGTGTGTGTGTGTGTGTGTGTGTGTGTGTGTGTGTGTGTGTGTGTGTGTGTGTGGGGGTGTGTGTTCTAGGGGATTATTATCTGTGGAACTATAAAGTGAGGTGAACTGGGGTTTAAGGCCTGATGTGACCAGAGGGAACGGGGGCAGGGTACAGGGCCTGAGGAGGGGCGGACAAAAGGAGCATTTGGGCAGATGAAGAAGTCATCATCATTAAGCCACTGGAAGTTTACTGTCCAGTTATAAAACTCATTTCAAAATTAGGGACAAGGGGGTGCGTGTGAAAGGCTAGCAGGGCTGTGATGTGAGGGCCTGCGAGGGGCTGGAGGGCGGTGTGGAGCTGCGCTGAGGAACTG